ACCCTGCACCCTGCACCCTGCACCCTGCACCCTGCACCCTGCACCCTGCACCCTGCACCCTGCAAAAATTCATTTCCTCCGTTTTTGATCTCATTCGTAAGTTTATTCATTTCTTTCTGACAGAATAACCATTAATTACAACCATCATCCAAAATAAGTGAGTACTGGGCAATAGAGTCAGTTTGCAGAAAAGTGACATTCAGATTGATGCAATAGGATTAGAGTTTCTTTTCAAAAAATCAATAATTAATAGTGTTCAGAAGCTTCTTTCTTCTTAGTTTTCTTTTCATTTTGGAATGAGATCATCAATGCTCTCTCCCTTTTCCAGTTTTTTCTCCATCTTGATCAGCAAGCCAACCCCATCCACCATTGCTTGCACGAGCTCAACTTCAGAAAACCCAAGCCTATCGGCGTTCGATATGTCATAGATTCCTCCCACAGATGCTGTGTCGACTCCACCAGTCCCACGCTTCTGTAGACGGAGTTTTTCCAAGATGGAGTCAAGTTTCTTCTCATCTTTACCCAGCATTGGAATTTTCAGATGAACACCGGCTCGAAGTCCAGTCCCAAGGTTCGAAGGACAAGTCAAGACGAAGCCAAGGTGTTCGTTCCACATGAACTCATAACCAGCGTCTTTGATAAGACCCTCTACCTTGTTGAGACCATTAAAGAAGCGTGTGAATACTTCTCGAATGTTTCCACCCTTCTGCATAGAGATAACTCGCGTGTGATCTTCCTCGTTCACCCATACCAGGAAATTCTTATTCTCGTTGTGCCAGATGCCACGCCCGTCGGGCCAGTCACGTGCCATACCTGCGCATGTCAGTAAAGGCGAGACTGGTTTGTCGAACAGGAAATGATCGTTGATAAGCTGTTCTTGTTCTTCGTCGGTCATTTTGTTTAGAGGATAATACTTGCCCTGTCACGGAAAATGATTGAATATAAAAACCTTTAAAGACAATAGCTGCAAAACACAGGCAAAAACAATATCAATGCGTTCCTTTGATAAAAGGTTTGGGGTATAACCCACGACCTCGACAAGAAGTGACAGTACATCTTGCGTGCTTCTCACAACAAAGTGTCACGGGGTCTGGTACGAAAGAAGATTGAGTGCGCACTTGCTTAATTTCATAAACTTACTAGCAAATCAAAATAAAAAATAAAACAAAATAAAATAGAATAAAAAATTAAGAGATATTACATACGTAAAAAATCCAAAATATTACGCGTACCTTTAATTCCCCATCAAGTTTGCTCAAAGCATCCGCTGTTATTTTCTCAACGCTTCTTCTCTCGGCCCTTGAACAGTGAGGCGGTAGACAAAATCCTCGGATTGAGCGCCCAGTTCGAACTCTTGATGACAAAACATAGTTTGAATCCAAGTCGTCTCCGCCCTTCAGGTTATCAGGGTTGATGTCTGTCTTGTGTTTGTCGGTTTTCTTGAAGCCTTTGTGGCGAAGTTCGATGACTGGATCAAGGAAGTCGGCAAACACTTCGTAAGATTCTTCGTCTCCGGCGACGCAACCAACTGTCATGATAAATGGATGACCTATTGGTGAAAACAGAAACGAGAATAAGAATCAATGCACTGGAACAACGGAGTCGGGAACTTGGAACACACACATATTGCCAAATTATTTGCACAATCGCTACTTATTCAACTTCAATTGCACAAAGCTTTTATTTTTAGTATATCAGTTTCTCAAGGCTTGTCCTTTTAGTGAATTACACGCAAAAAAATACCAAAGAAATGTTTTTCAACAAACAAATTGATGTGGGTAAAAAAAGCTGTATCTCATGAAAGTTCATTTAAAAAAATAAAGCGCATACATTAAGGATGTACTTAATTGATTCTTATTCTAAAATAGAAATAGTTTAAGACAGAGGGGGAAAAGGCTTACTTCTCTAAATCGAAGAACTTTTAAAGGGGTTTTCTCGTTATCAAGAATCTCCGATTTTAATTCCCTCCTACGCAAAAATTCCAATTCGATATGTGCCATGCCCTGACTTTGATAAAGGAGCCTAGAAGTTGTTACAGGGCATCGATAGAATAAATAATAGCTTAATAATAATTTATCTCATATTCATTCAACTAACCGGGACTATCTACTCCAGTTTGAATCACATCGTCCAGCGTAAACCCATTTTTCGTTGCCTTATCTCTTAGTTTTCTGTAGAGATCCTTCGTCAGGACTTTGGCCATGTAGTTATTATGCTGGGATAAGTCCGGGAAGTCATTATCCGTGCTGAATTTCTTGTAAGCTGCTTTGATTTCAGACATAGTTCCTGCAGTTATGAAAGTGATCTGAAGCGATGGAAATTTGTGAGTAAAGAGAGCGAGTGCTTCACTAGTTCAACGGTTGAAAATCTGACGTAAGTTATTTACGTTTGTGACGTCTTATTTCATTAACTGTAAATGATTATTAATTGGTAATTAATGATTATTAATGAATATGGGATCTTTTGGTCTCAATTGCAACGTCGATGTTCATTGAAAGAGATAACATTTTCTAAATATTTATAGCTAGAAAAGGAAAAAGGAAAATAATAAATCAGCTGCGCGCGCAAGCTGTGCGTGGAAACGCTGAAATCTTTGACGAAAATGCAGCGAGCGAGCAAGACATCAGTAGCATTCAACTCGCGCGCGCAAATAGATTGAGCACAGTTGGTATCTCAAATATTGCCTTTAGCAACAAAGTCCACTGAACCTGAACGCCCTCTTGATTATTTTATTTATTTTATCAAAACAAATAGTGTATGGTAAGGGATTAAACCACACTCTTCTAAGTCGATAAAGCACCCTATGCCGAGGCATGATGAACAAACAATGTTTATAAACCGGTTAGAGCAGAAAGCGTCATGTACACAGATTCACAATTTGCCAAACTGAAGTGGCAGTTTTCCTTGAAATGAATGAATGAATGAATGATTAAATGAATGAGAAAGAATGAATGAATGAATGAATGAGAAAGAATGAATGCGTGAATGGACTGATGGATGGATGAATGGATGGATGGATGGATGGATGGATGGA